CTGCTTCTCCCTCTGACCCTCCCCCCTCTCATGCTCTCTATCTCATTCTCTCAAATAAATAAATAAATAATCTTAAAAAAAAATACTACTGTCCACGTCACAGCCCCGGGAAGCCTGATTTAAACAGGGGAGGGTGGGGCTCGGGTGCTAATACTTTCAAAAAATTCCCCAAGCGATTCTAACTCACAAAGACGGGCTTACGAACCACTGCCCTCCCTACTCCACCTGTTTGCTGTAGAGATTAAATAATGTGAGAGATACTCGACGCTCAACAGACATGAGACCACCAGAATCAACCTCACAATCATCAATCCCATCTTCATCTTGAGAGGCGCCACAGCGGAGGGATGGCGCCTGCAGCTGGCCAGCCCAGGTCCGCCTGGTCTGCCTGGGTGACCTTGGTCAAGGAACTTGACCTTTCTGGGCCTCCCTGTTTGTTCAATCTGTAAAATGGGGACTATATGCTTTATAATTGGGAAAGTGTATTGAGACAATACATTTAAGAGTGCCTAGTGCTTGCTTAATAAATGTCAGCGTTTACTGTTACAAAATCTCTCTGGGCCTCAGTTTCCTTTTCGGTAAAACGGAGCTAATAATAGGCTCTGCTTTGTGTACAGTGAGAGGAAGTGAATTAATATATGGAAGGGAATTTAGGACAGAGCCTGGCGTGCAGTTTTCCAATACTCGGTGGCTGTCACTCATTATTATGACAGACCCATATCCCTTTCTCAAAACCCTCTGATGTGTTCTATTTGAGCACTTGGAATTTTTTTTCACACTTTAGGAAAAATAATAAGGTGCACGGCATCTACCGTATAATATTCCGGGACTCCCCCAGTGGCGTCTGACGCCGTTCTAGGCAATAATCTGTAATTTGGCGCGGGATCCCGAGCAGAAATGGCCTCGCGCTACTCAAGCTGGGGGCTGCCACCCAGCTCCCCACCCCCCGGGGCCATGCCCTCCCGGCAGGCGGCCACTCACGTAGATGAGGCCCGAGTAGTACCGCTCGCGGAGATTGTGCAGCACGGAGGCCTCGTTGAGGCAGGTGAGCTCGGCCATGTCCTCGGCCTTGCTGAACTTGGGCGGGTTCATGCGCTGGATCTGGTCCCGCGGCAGCCGCAGCCTGCGCCCGCTCTCCGCCAGCTCCACCTCGGCCTCCTCCTCGCCCTCGTTCCGCAGCGCCGCCGCCTCGAACCCGTGCAGCTCGGAGGGCACCCACACCAGGCGCCGCGCCGTCCACTCCACCTGCGGCGAGGTGCCGGCGCCCCCCGGTGAGCCACCCACGCCCGACCCACTGGGGGCGAACAGGTACGACTGGGCGGCCTCGGGCACTGGGCCGGGCCTGGGGGCCGCCTTCCGCCGGGGCACGGACAAGGTCACCGCCGCCATGGTCTGCAGGAGAGAGAAGGCTGGAGGTCAGGTGGGGCTCCGTTCCCAGCCCAGACAGCGCCCCCTCCAGGCAGTCCCTACTGCCTTTCTTCACCAGACCTCTTTTTACACATCTGCAAAATGGGCCCACAGATCTCCTTTACTCATTCCATTCATTCATTCAATAATTATCGAATAAGCCTGGCTGGGTCAGGCACCATTCAAGGCATTGGCCATACAGCCAAGAAGAAGCGAGCAACAGATCCCTGCCTAGAGAAGG